TATGCGTGATGTGGATTTAAAAACTAATCTTAAATCCACTTGAGGGTAGTAACGACCAAGTATTCTTTAAGTTGATTTTTTAGATTTAAGCTACGTCCTGTTTTGTGTGACATTCCATTAATTAATCATTACTTAGGATCCAAATCAAATTACTTTACATAAGGTAAACTGAAAAAATCTATTTTAAAAAAATATGTTGTGTATATTGTAGTGCCACCTGTCCACTAAACGCAACATTAATATATGCTATCCTCTCAAGGTGATTCTGTAAGAATGAATTACAGGATGACGTGAAATTCCGTAGTTGTTCTGAAATTATTTTCAACAGATATAGAAATGAGTGAGCGTCTTGTGTTTTGTAGACATGTGTTCTAAATTAGTAACTCATCCTTGATGTATCATATTCGCATTACTGTATCAAGAAATGAATTACAATTCGACGGCCACTTTCAGAAAGAAAAATAAAAAACGCGTGTGGCGGTGTTGGATAGGAAGTCTAAGCCGGTAGGTTTGTAAACTTGGTACGGCGCTATGATTCCAAGTAGCGCCTTGATATTAAACAGTAGTGGTCGATTAAATATACAATTAAAGTGTAAGCTCAACTGTAGTGCGTTAAAAATCAAATCCAAGAATAATTTAAAACTATGAAAGAAAGAAAGCGTGAATAGATTGTACAAGATCGGAAAATTTGTTTTTGGTTAAATGTTTGAATCGTTTTTATAATTTGATTTGATTTAAATACTTCAAAACAGAAAGTAAAAAGATGGAATGTTTATATTAGCCAGGAAAGTCATTTCAGATTTCAATGGATGAGGGGCGGGTAAACTTTATTGGAGGTACAAGAGATTTAAGCCCCTAAACCGTTTTTAAAGGTTAAAATCAGTATTGATGTTATTATTTTATATAATATCTAATACACATGAATATAAATAGATATTTTCCGTTTCATGCTCCGAAAAGAAAATATATTTTTGAATGTAGTTTTTAATGCTGATTTCAGAAATATTCATTAAAATTTGGAGAAATGAAAAGAAACATTTTTTGAAAAAGAAAATATCCAAATAAAGCAAAGTGTACATTATATATATATATATAATTCTCCCAAAATAAACAAACGATATCAAACACAGGGGTGGGACGTGGTATTACCAAAAAAAGTCATAACAATAGATCTAAAAATAAAATATCCTTAAATCAATAAATCTTCAAAATTTAATAAAAACATAACAAATAGGCTATTATGTTTAATTCAGTGATTATTCGACTAGTTTATTTTTTTGGCTTACATTTTCTTATAGAGCAGAATTTCAGTATTATATGACTTTCAAAAACTATTGTTGCGTCAGCGAGGTCACGTGACTAGTATCACGCCACGTCCTTCTCGAACCTTCATGAATTATCTTCAGATTACTAGATTGGGGGTAGGCTAGTATATATAAGACGCTCACAACGTGACAGAACAAGGTAATGAGTAATTGAATGTATGCGGACAGAATATTGTTGGCTACGTGAGACGTGAGTTATAGCGTTGTTATAGAGCGACTGTTGAAATTACGTGTATCGTAAAGTTGTATTCGGAAAGAATAAACCAGTTTTATTTAAGAAAGGACTTGTGTCGCTAAAGTTTCGTCGGAACGAATTTACGGAAAATTAACTAACGACTGGAGGCGTAACAAATTGGTGTCAGAGAGTGGGACGAAAAAAAAAAGAAGAAAAAGAGAA